TATTAAGTTTTTTAAGAAACAATAAAATTTAAATTATATAATGATTGTTGTAAATTAAAATTAGAATCTTGATCAATATAAGTTAAAATTATTATCTTAATTAATTGTTACATTTGACATAAAATTTAAACTTCAAAAACAAAATATTGCAGAAAAACAAAAATCTATATACTAAATTTAACATTTTTCAAAAGTTTAAGGGCAACTTGTTAAGAACTAGAAAGAATTCTGTTAGTCAATTAACAAAATATTTGCTAAGTAGATTATTTTAAAACGAAATTGATAGCTTATAGATCATTTTGAAAGAAAAAATTGTTTCTAAACTAAACTGAAATAAATCACATAGTTAATAGATTATTTATTGAATTTAGTTGAAAAAGAAGCCTTGTATAAGTTGTTATTATTACGTTTTGTTATGTGTTTTGCTTAGAATTTTTATTTTGGCTTAACATCCTTATTTAGCCCCTTAATTTATAAAATTTAAGATTATTAGCTCCTCACATAAAAATTTAAGAATATTAACTCCTTAACAATATAATTGGGGGAAATTCATCATTATTTAATGGATTTTAGCTCACACCATTAATCAAACTTAATTTCCATTCTAGTTAGCTTAAACTTTATAAGTTAAGAAGTTAAATTAGAGGTTTAGCCTTTTATTTATACAAGTTACTATTGCTGCATATGTGATTTGTTTAGATTATAAGCCTTACTTTATTTTTATTTTTGCATTTTATTATTTTTATTTTTAAAAATTAATATTATTATATAGACATTAAGTATAATAAGTACAAGTAAAATTTTAATTATACAAGTATGGATAATAGATTAATTAAACAAGTCAATTAATCAAATTGAGTAAACAATTCTAAACTTCTATATTTGTTACTTGACTTAATATTTACAAGTATATTATTTCCATCCTTATTACTTACCTAATTTTTTTATAGTTCGAATATAATACTTATCCAAACAGATAAAGTAGTTGTAAGTAAGGGATATATCTATACCCATTGCTCACCCCTACCTAAAATATATTAACTAAAATTCTTGGTCCATTTTTATTTGAATTAATTAATATTTAGTAATAATTTTCTTTCATTATATATTTCTATTTTTTAATTTTTCTTAGATATTACATTCCCATTATTACCTTACGTGACAAATTAATTAGTTCTTGGCAACCTAATGTGGCCATGATTATTTTTAGGGAAATGCTTTTTGTATAAGCTTTTTGTCTCACCTTTTTGTGCAACTTGACGTGTCATTAAAATGATTGATTTTTTTAATTTATGTGAGACCTTTGATATTGAATGCATTCACTCATTTCATTACATATGAAAGTTATATAAAAATGCGAGACAAAAAAGTTGTCCTTATAGCATCACCCTTATTTTTAAATTCAGGCTTCTTCTGCATCTTTTCTCCCAATTCTAATGGTTAGATAATTCTTAATTCTATCTATTAATTATCCTCCCAAAGTTTATGATTCATTAATTATCATTTCTTCCATTTCATTCTCTTCATTTTTCACAATATCACCCTTCATTAATTTGTTAAAGAACAATCTCCTATATTTTAAGTGATAATTGTGATAATTCGATTTTAAGTGGGTAATTTTCTTATAAATTTTATAACTATTTAAAAAAATCTTTTAAATGTTAAAATATATTTCAAAATCCTAAAAATCGTAAAATACCAAAAGTTGAATGAATTTATTTTAACTTGTTTTTATTTTTTTGTTTCATGACAAATTTGCAACAAAATAAAACTCGAATGAAGAATTTTAAAAGGAGGAAAGGGACAAAAAGTGACTTCAATTAAGAAATTGGAAAAACTGGTGGCCAATTGACAGGTTGGTGAAAGGTGAGGAGCAAAGGTTGCAATATTGTAAAGCCATTTTTGAAAGGTGAGGAGCAAAGGTTGCAATATTGTAAAGCCATTTTTGGAATTGTGCCAAATTTCATCTAAGCTGAAATGAAACAAGCCCAAATCTGTCTCAAACCCATAAACGCAAACTTATCCTATGGGTTTATGGGTTTAAGACAGATTTGGAGCCCAAAAACCCAAACTCACAGAGCCTATCACTAAGCTTATCTTTTTGCATTGAATAAAATTATTTAACTTGTCCTCACTTTTTGAGATACATTATTTTTTATATTGCAGATACCTTGTTCATAAAAAGGTCAAACTAATATTTTATTGTCTTTAGAGTAAGAAATTGTATCATTTCAATAAAAGTCAACTAGGGATAATAACAAAACAAACTTATATGAATTAATACAATGCAATTGTTTACACCTCAAAGTAAACAAAAAAACTTTCAAGATCTTAAATATAATTCTTAAGACATTAGAAATTACACTTTATTCACAAGACCTATAAATATATATAATCACCTGTATATATGCACATTAAAAATGGCATATAATTTTTCAAGTTCTATTTTATCTTTATGACTTTTGTATAATAAGATTGTATACATGTCACATTTTGTTTATTACTCAGGTACTATTATACTTTCATAGTATAATAGTAATGCTTTATACAATTTCAACTCTACATCGTGATGGGAATCAAGATGACCCCACATGTACCACGTCAAGAGATCCATTACACATTACAGGAGGTCCAGTCACGAGAGCAAGAGTTAGGAAGATGTGAGTAGCTTTAAATGGCCTTGTTGAACAGATCTGGGTTGATAACAATATGCAACAAGTAAATCAAAGCTTGGGTGATTATCAAGACATGGTAAACATCATTCAAATTCAAGAGAAACTTAATTGAGGTCATTTATGCTAAACTACACAGTTTGCATCAAAATCCTGCAATTTTGTCGCAATTTGTAATAAACTAATATTTCATGTTACTTTAGGTTACTTTCAGTGATTTTCACGTTTTTTGTATTATTTTGGGCTGAACATTCATTTATTTGAGGCCCAATCTGTGGTTATTAGGGTTAGGGCTTAGGGTGTTAGTTTCCTATTCTAATTAGAATTACTTTTCCCTATTTAAAGGGCTTGTAACCCTAATTGGGGGGAAGCTATTGAATTAAGATTTTGAGAGACTTTTCTCTTTGGTTCGTTTCAGAACTTTACAGAACTTATCAAGATTATTTTTGTGGTGTTCTAACCTGACTTATCATTCTTATTCTTAATCGTTCGAGGGTGTGGCATCAACCGACTTTATACCTCTGGTTCTTGTTGTGTCATAGACAACGGGTCAAGGATTTTACCTTTGGTTCTTGTTGCGACATAAACAACGGGTCAAGGTTCTAAAATAAACCTGATTTGACTTTCCTGGAGTTTAGAAATCCCTTGTCGTGTTGTGGGTCTCATTGTTCTCTTTGGGGTTCTCATCATGTTGGTATCAGAGCATCAGATCCTAAATCAGGTTTGTATATCTTTAATTTTCAATTTTTATCTAAAAAAAAAATTCAGTGCCATTCTTCTTTTTCTTATTTTGCTCTTTTGAATCTGTGTTGCTGGTTTAAAAAAA